CTCTCCCTCTCAAAAATAAATAAACATTAAAAAAATTAAATATAAATTAACTTTATAGCTGACTTATCATCTGGGGTCATCTTACTCAAGAAAAGGGGTGCCTTTCCATTTGTTCAAGTTTGATTTGGAATTTTTCAGAGGGTTTTAACCTTTTTTTACATACATTGTATATTTTTTTCTTTTTTTAATGTTTTCTTTTTAAAAAGAATTTTTTATAGTTGTTTATTTTTGAGACCGAGAGAGACAGAACATGAGTGGGGGAGGGTTAGAGAGAGGGAGATACAGAATCTGAAACAGGCTCCAGGCTCTGAGCTGTCAGCACAGAGCCCCACACAGGGCTCGAACCCATGAACTGTGAGATCATGACCTGAGCCGAAGTCGGCTGCTTAACTGACTGAGCCACCCAGGTACCCCTGTACATTTCTTATTAACTTTATATGTAAGCAGTCTTTTAGTTGTTGCTATAAATGGAGTTTTTTCTCTCATTACATCTTGTAACTGGATATTATCTGAGTATTTGAAAACTTTTTTTTTTAATTTTTAAATGTTTTTTACTTATTTTTGAGAGTATGAGAGAGCGTGAGCAGGGGAGGGTCAAAGAGAGAGGGAGACACAGAATCCAAAGCAGGCTCCAGGCTCTGAGATGTCAGAGCCCGACGCGGGGCTCGAACCCACAAACTGTGAGATCATGACCTGAACCGAAGTCGGACGCTTAACCAACTGAGCCACCCAAGCGCCACAAAAAAACTATTGGTTTTTTTGTTGGTAATTTCATATCCAGCTGCCATACTAAATTAAAAACAAAAATTGTTTCTATTATTGATTCTGTGGGTTTTCCAGGTAAATATCATGTCATCTGCAAAAAGATGTAGTTTTATTCTTTATTTTCTGATTCTAATACAGTACTACTGATTGTTTCCTCTTGTTTAATTTTGTTTATTGATCTCTTCAGTACAATTTTAGAAAGTAGTGTAAGTGCAGGTTCTCCTTGCTGGCTTCCCGACCTTGATGGAGACACCCTGGCGGTCCTGTTGGGTACAGTGATGTATAGGAGCTGAAGTGTATCTGTGTTACTTTATTGAACAAGTACTCCTCCATTCCTGTTTTCTTGATACATATTTTTTTAAATCAGGAATTGCTGAATTTTTGTCAGATGCTCTTATAATACGAGCTATGTTATTCTTCTTCATAGATGTATAACTATGGTAAATTTTGTTTATGGAATTCCTAATATGGAATATACTCCTAGAATAAGTCCCATGTGGTTATGGTGTGTATTTTTTTTTTTTTTATTATTGAGAGAGAAAAAGCAGGGAAGGGGCAGAGATAGAAGGAGACGGAGAATCCAAAGTGGGCTGTGTGCTGATAGCAGCAAGCCTGATGCAGGGCTCAAACTCATGAACTGACCTGAGCAGAAGTCAGATGCTTAACTGACTGTGCCACCCAGGCGCCCCAGCTGTGTGATTTTTTTTTTTTTTAATTAATGTTTATTTATTTTTGAGAGAGAGAGAAAGAGAACATGAGCTAGAGCATGGGAGGGGCAGAGAGGGAGACACAGAATCTAAAGTGGCTCTAGCCTCGGAGCTGCCAGCATAGAGCCTGACTTGAGGCCCGAACCCACAAACTGTGAGACCATGACCTGAGCCGAAGTCAGACGCCCAAACGAGACACCCAGGCGCCTCATGTGTGTGTGATTTCTTTGATGCTGGATGTGATCTGGTGCTGTTGTATCAAGATTAGATTTCAGCATTATGTTTGGTTCATGTGAAAATCAAAACCAGAAGTATGAACATTTTTCTTCATTTTCTCTTGAGTAATTTTTACATCATTTGGATTATCTTTTTGATCAAGATTTGGTAAAATTACATGAGCCTACAAAGTCGCTTAAAAAAATTTTTTTTTAAATTTTTTTCACGGGTGCCAGGGTGGCTCAGTCGCTTAAACGTCCGACTGCAGCTCAGGTCATGATCTCGCAGTTTGTGGGTTCAAGCCCCACATCAGGCTCTGTGCTGACAGCTCAGAGTCTGGAGCCTGCCTCAGATTCTGTGTCTCCCTCTCTCTCTGACCCTCCCCTGCTCATGCTGTCTCTCTCAGAAATAAAGCATTAAAAATTTTTTTNTTTCAGTCTGTGTCTCCCTCTCTCTCTGACCCTCCCCTGCTCACGCTGTCTCTCTCTCTCTCCTAGAAATAAATAAAAACATTAAAAAAAAAAAAACTGGAGTGTAGGTATCTGGGCTGGGAAAAGGGACTGTGTCCTAGAGCAGTGAGTAGGATGGGCCTCCCCGCGAGATGTTCCCCTGCCACCGGGGGACCTGGGGGGTAAGTGGGCATTGGCTTTCCCACATGATCCCTGTGCAGCTACGACGAGCACATTCTACTGTGGGACACTCGGAACATGAAGCAGCCTTTGGCAGACATGTCCGCGGAGGGCGGAGTGTGGAGGCTCAAGTGGCATCCTTTCCGCCACCACCTCCTCCTGGCAGCGTGTATGCACAGTGGCTTTAAGATCTTCAACTGCCAAAAAGCAACAGGTGAGTAGGGGGCTTGTGGCAGCCAGGCCTGGGGTGGGGGTTCAGTTTCCTGCCCCCTTGTTCTACCAGTGCTTCACTTCTGCTCACGCACCCTTGCTCACGCTCTGAGAGCAGAACCCAGCACTGGTCAGACCCAGCTGTGATGGTGCCTGAGCCCCAGAAGGTGGCTGGAGGGGGAGGGCAGCCCTGTGGGGCCTCACTCCAAGTTCGTGCTGCGGGGGGGGGCCTGGAAACCGCCAGGCCCGCCACGGCCTTTCTCCGGCCAGTAAGTCTTCGCTGGCGGGACTGTTTCACCTTTTCTTCTCTCTTTATAAACGCCCAGCGCCCCCTTTCCCTCCTCATCCTGTTCGTGACTCTGCCTCCCTCCTCATCTATACAAAGAAGCGACGAAGGCACCACCTCTCTGCTCTGAGGGCCTCAAGGCCTGTCTCTGGCGCACCCAGGGCTTCCTGTTCCCCAGGGGCCGGAACTCCGGCTCGTGGTGTTGTGAGTGGCACAAGCAGCTATCCCAACGCTACTGGAAAGTCCTCCACCCCCAGTGAATCGAGATGCCACTCTTCCTGTGTATCAACCTTATGTGCTTCCATGGCTTTTTTTTTTTTTTTTTT